CCTCACAACAGAACCAGCACCATTCCTAGATCTTACACCTGCACCTCCAGAAATGTAATATATCTTATCCAGTGCACGAAATGGCCTGATGAAAATACGTAGGAGATACCAAACAATAACTGTGCCCCAGAATAAACGCAGACCGAAAATCTATCAAAGACAAAAATATCCAATGACTTGTGGGTACCCACTTCTCACAGGACAATCACTCCCTCTCCCATCTCTCAGTTCTAACCCTCAGAGGGACTTTACAAAGCACCTTCTGTAGACGTGCCTGCAAACTTCACTTCATAAATCTACTGGATACAAAAATCATGGACTCAATACAGACATTGGATTTATGACACATTACAACCTGCCTGACATCTGATTCACCAGGTACCTGCCAGACCTGACCTTTTACATTTTTCTTTCCCCCATCCCCACCTTCCATCCCCTCCTTTCTACCCTTTGTCTTCCTAATTTCCAGCTATTTACAGACAGCCTCTTTTCTGCCTTGGAAAACTACTACAGTAGAGTGTCCCTTACTTACCTTTGGGTTTTTTCCCCCTCCTGTTTTTCCCTTCCCTTCTCTACTTTTTGTTTTCCTAATTTTCACCTATTTACCTTCTCACTGAAGTCCTGTCACACTTTTGGCTTCTTTTTTCATTCCTTGGAGTCTCCGAGCAGCAGAGACTCCTGATGCCTGAAGAAGGGTGATTGTGCCCAAAAGCTTGCAAAGAACTTTTCTCCAGCTACTAATAAAAGATACCACATCTACCCAAACAACCTTGCCTTCCTTGTAATAAGTAATGTGAGTAACGGTAGCTAAGAAGCGAAGCCTGCTCATTGTTCTCTCCCTGGGGGTTGTGTGCAAACTTTACTTTTGCCTCATCGAGGATTAAGCAACAGAAACTGCTGTTACCATATTTTTTCACATATTGTAACTTCACTTATTGTATTTTCGGTGCACTCCATTTTCCAACAGCTTGCTTTTGGTGAAAATGTGCATATTCTTTGACATGATGAGGTACAATACTATTGTAGATGCAGATTATTTTTTGTGCACGTTTATTATTTTACATTCCTTCAAAAGCAAGCAAGTCTTTTGTCTGGATTTTTTGCACTAAGTATCCTCCTACATGCTCTCAGGTTGTCAGTTAGTTTATCATATTTACTGAACAAGTCAATATTTTGATTTAGTTTTTTCTCCTCAGAGATACCCATTTCCCCTCAGAAATACTCAATATCTCCCTCTCTGAGATACCCCTCAGACACCTATTTTATTTAGCATTTAGCCGCGATCTTTCCATACCATTCTTTCATACGCACTTATCTTCTATACCTCTGTTCTGAACCTGTCACATCCATCAGTTGAAGGGGATCACCTTTCAGGTTTCAAATCTCAGTTAGAAACAGAATGAGGGACTTGAACATCTTTTATTTCTATAGATTTAAGTGATATTAAAATTTTAAAGACATTTTGCCATCACATGAAAATGATCTTAAACATCACCTTTTCTTCAAAGCTTAATTCAAGCCCCTCCTAGAATACTGTGTTCATTTCTGATCATTAAGAACCAGAAACAGACTGGATGGAATTCAGTAAATTAGCAATAAGATAGCAATAAATTAATGTATGTGTGAGAAGGATTAACTCATAGAAAGATGAAGGGGGCAATGGATTCTTATTTAGTCCCTTTAAAGCCCATGGGAGTTTTGCTTGAATGAGGAATACAAAACTGATCTCTAATAAAATTAATTATAATACACACACAAACACATACTTGTGTACGTGTAATGTAATCAAAAGAATTTTAAATGGAGAGGTAAAATACTTCTAAAATGTTTGAATGTTTTAAATTAAGCTGTCCAACTTCAGAGTAGCTGGGTGATACAGAGCAGCTTTCAGAGTCACTCTAAATCAAGTGCCCTTTTCCAACCCCCAGAGCAGCTGGAAAAACACCCTACAAGCCCCTTCACTGCCACCACTACATGGAGGATTCCTCCTTCCACTACTACTGTGCAAGCCCCTTCTCTCCTTCCCCTCCCTAAAGAAGTGAGCTCCCTGACTTGTACCACCACGCACGATTTTCCTCGTTGATGCCATGTCAGCAAACAAGAAGCAGAAGCCACCCCTTCCCCATCCGAGCCCCCCACTGGCACTGACATGGGGGCACTGAACTCACCAGGCCTCCTGCTCTGCTTCAGAGGCACCAGCCACCACAACTACAGCAGCTGAAGCAAGGGTGGCTAGGCAGGAGCCTGAGGGCTGCAATTTAACCCTTCACAGGCCAGATGTAGGTCATGAGCCATCAATTGGACAGCTCTGTTAAATATTAACTGGAAAGTTTCTCTTTCTTAGTTTAGAAATTTAAGAAATTCTAACATACAGAATATTTTTCTACAATTAATGTTCACTAGTGGTATATTAAAAGAGTAGATTATAAGAGACAACATATTTTCATCCCCTTGATATGTCATTCCCTTGAACGGTGGAGCAGCCAGGTGCAGTAGGCATACTTCTCAATGGCTTCAAAGGAAGATGCAGTGGAAGAGTAATTCCAGTTGTCTTGGATCTCCTTGCCATTGGTCATAGGTTTTTCTTTCACCAAGATCTGTGCAGTTGGTGATGCGCAACAGCCTCCTCACATAAAGTATATCAAAAGTTCCTGAACTGAGAACCAATGGTGACTGATGAAACTATCAAATCTATCCCACAGAATCCAATAAGGGAAGCACTTACCCATCCACCAACCTCTGAAGAAGTCCACCAGGCAATAAAACAGATGAAGAGCAACAAAGCTTCTGGCCCTGATGGCATAGCAGCTGAGGTTTTGGAAGGTGGTAGGGAAACTATAACCAACAAGCTCCCCACACTGTTTCTTAAAATATGGAACACTACTAGCCTAAGGAATGCCAATTATGTCAGCATTTTTAAAAAGGGAGGTAAGTCTGACTGTGGAAACTATTGATGTATTGCCCTCCTCCACATTGCTGGGAAGATCCTTGCTCAAAAATTCTGCTAAACCAACTGCTCCCTCTTGCTGAGAAAATCCTTCCTGAGTCTCAGTGTGGCTTCGGACTGTCAAGAAGCATCATGGACATGATTTCTGTGGCCTGACAGATCCAGGAAAAATGTCAAGAACAACACCAGGAGCTGTATTTGGCCTTTATCGATTTGACCAAAGCCTTTGACCAGGGGCAATGCATAGAGGGTGCAGCCCCTGCAAAAAGGCGCCACCAACATCATTGGTGGCACCTGCGGGCGGTCACCACTCACACCCCGCCACCAACAGTGCCAGCGGGGCCTGCGGCACCTGCGGGTGGTCAGCAATCCCACTCCTACCCCCCACTGCCGACAGCTTGCCACCCCCCCTTCCTCTGCCACTGACAGTGCCAGTGGCATCTGTGGGAGCTCCCCACTCACCGCTGTGCTCCTACTGTCATGCTTCCACCGTCACCAGTGCAGCTGTGCCCCCTGGAGCTCCTGGGGGTGCATGCCATTCATGCCTTTGACTCTGTTAACCGTGAGGATTTATGGAAGATCTTTGGCTGCACAGGAAAATTTATCACCATCCTAAGACTCCTTCATGACCAGATAACTGCCTCTATCCTATGCAGTGACTGTTATGGAGCCATTTGAAGTGGCCTTTGTCATTGAACCACCATCAGGTTGGGTTGCAGGATCACAGCAACTCTGTTTTTTGCCTTTGTTGCAGTCATCAAGATACTCATCTGTGACCATCTGCCACATGTCATCAGCATTGAGTACAGGATGCATGGGAACCTTTTTAATCTTTCCCACCTATGTAGCAAAACCAAAGTTACTTTGGCCTTGATTGTGTAAGTTCGCTGTGCCAATGACTGTGCTATCATTGTACATGCAGAGGATGACCTACAAATGGCCCTGATCTTTTAACACCTTTTTCCTCAGGTGTCTGAAGGCTGTACTTACACATCTGAGGCGATGTTGGATTTCTTCATCGATGTCAGTCTTCTTCGAGAGATGGCTTCTGAGGTACAGGAAACACTCAACATTCTCTAGAGTCTCACTGTCAATCTGAATTACTAGAGCTGGGGACTGCTCATTAAGAGCATTAATTGAATCCAAGTTAGGTGACCACCCTAACCAGAAAGTAATAGAGTCTCTCTGTGGCCCAACCAGCATTTAATTATTAACCAGAAAGATTGAGAAAGCCTCACCCTTGTTTTAGTGAATAAACTATTTGCCAAAAAATTGCCCAGCTCTATTTTTTATCCAGGAATTATAATTAAACAGATCTCTCTTACTGAGACCAATTATATTAAATAGTGTGTTATGCTTTAGGGTTG